TTTCATTCTATTTTAATGGTAAATTACTGATTCAAAGTTACTAAAGAAAATGATTCTTCTATTGATTTATTGAAGTGAATTACCAGACTTACTTTTTTTACTTGCTCCATTTATACAATAAATAAGGGAGTGAGATCATCCACTTATTTGTATTGTACATAAACAATCAATCAAAAACTTTCGATTAAGTAATTTACTGTAACAGATCAAAACAAGTTTTCTAATATACGCCTACTTTATTTTGGTAAAGTATTTATAATCGTTTGCATCATTGATTGACAGCGTTTATATATAAAAATTTAAATCTTCTTACATATGCCCTTCTGAAAAAGAGTTTATATATGCTTAAGCATAGATAAAGTAGGATTTTTCAAAATATTTGAAATTATTATTATTATTATTATTACTTTTTGTTAGGCTGATCATTTAATAAGAAATGTTAATTTCTATTAATTTTCCCTCTCTTCACTAAGATAGCTAAATTGGAATAAAATGTAGACGCCTACGACACTGATACAGAATAAGTAATGGTGAATAATAATAATTTAGAATCCAAGCGCCATTGTTCAAATAAATATGATAATCTTATATAAACCCTAATCTCGCAATGCTAGTTAATCTTTGAATTAATATCTAATTAATCCTCCATCACAATCAATATATGAATATTCATACAATATTCTGTCATATATACAACTCATAAATTCCAAAAGGGACCAAAAAAGCTGTAGCTCGATTTGGACATGGCTCTATGTCGCAATCTTAGGGTTTATCAGTTTTTATTCCATTAGAGCTTTACCTACCAAGAAAAATGATAATAAGAACAATGTAAATAACAGTAACAACAACGACAATAGACATTTCGTTATGATAATGGTTGTAATAGGGTCATCATCACCATTATTAAAATAATTATTGGACTATATGTTAAAAAAAAATTATTGGACTATATATAGTCTTCTGCATAAAAGTGCCTCTAGGTAATATGGCCTAGTCTTATAGACCACATTGGCCAAAATTGGTGTAAAAAAATAATAATTAAGTATTGGATATGTATATATTCTTGTACTTGATAAGACATGCAGTATGAGCCACAATGGATTAATTAAAAACTTTTTTAGGTTTCAGTGAATGTGTGTGTGTGTGTGTGTGTGTGTGATTAGTATTGTTTAATTTCTGCCAGGTGCAGTGGGAATGAGATAGAGACGTCACTAGTCCTGAGTAGTGCAGAAGAAATGAATATATTAGTAATGACTAATGAGAGAGTAATTAAAATATATTTTTGTCACTAGAAATTAAAGTGGAAATTATTTTATTTTCACACTTTTGCAAATATGCCATTAGTGATGTCATTTGAGAGTTGCATCTTACTCCCAACTTGTTAAAGTGCATTAAAATAAATCTAAAAATCAAAAATTAAAAGAATATTGGTTGTAAAATGATAAAAGTTTCCTCAATGATTAAAAAGAAAAAGAAAAATAGGACTCTGTGTATAAATATACCATGCAATATGGATAACCCATTTGCATTACAGTCTATTTAAGGATTAAAAAATATTCAAGATCATTTTGATTAATAAGGAAGGGTATTGTAGAGATTTCAAGTTCAAAAATGCCCATTTTAGTCATTAATTATTGTAACGGCCCACAAATGGTAAGGGGGAATCTGCTTTTTCCTTTTAGGGGTAAATGGCATTGACAGTTCCTGAGATTGTGATCAATGTCACACGGTTAATAATTGTTTTTACATTGATATCCACTGAAGTTTAAAAAATATGCATTGACACTCTTCCAAATTTTTGAAACTATATGAGATAATCTTTTAACCCTTTGATTTATCAACAACTCCATTTAAATAATAAAATTACAAATTTAACCTCCTAACTAAATTTAATAAACCAAACTAACTTATTCATCTTTTCTATACATATAGATATGATTTATATATAATAATAGTTATTCTATCATAATCACTGCCACAATATAAAAATAAAAAAAGAAAATTAATTTTTTAAAAATAGTTAGATAATTGTACATTGCCCTAACCACCACCGCAACATAAAAATAAAAAATAAAATTATTTTTAAATAACCAGATAACTGTACATCACCATAACCACCACCGTAATATAAAAATAAAAAAAATAATTATTTTTGAAATAACCAGATAACTGCATGTACATTATCATAAGCACCACCGCAACATAACAATTAAAATGAAATTAATATTTTTTCTAAATAACTAAATAACTGTACACGACCTAGACTCACCACCATTACACCCAAACACTACAGTGGAAAAAAAAAAAAAAAAATTGAAAACAACCATGGCCAACCCATACTTATATTTGCTAAATGCCACCAGAACCACCACCACACCAAGACAACATCACCAATACACCCAGACTCTACCAAAACCATACTAGAAAAAATAAAATTTTTGAAACACCCTGATAACCTAGACACCACCACAAGCACACCACAACAACCACCACCAGAGTAGGAAAAATAAAAACAGCCATAGCCAGCTCAGACCCACCACAACGGGAAAAAAAAAAAAAAAAGAAAAAAAGAAAAAAAAAGCCATGTTTGAGATCAGGAAGAAAGAAAAGGAGTGTCGGCGGTTAGATACTAAAATGAACCCAAAAAAAAGAAGTTAAAGATTAGGGTAGAAAAACAGGCTTAATGATGAGGGTAATTTTGTCAATTAACATGACTGATATTTTGTAAATTAATTGAATTAAATAATCAGGGGCAAATATGACATTTGAAACTACAGGGGGTGTCATTGTTAAAAAAGCCGTTGACTCGCATCTGAGTGACATTGATCGAAACCTCAGGGGGTGTCAATGCAATTTATCATTTCTTTTAAATACTATAAAAGAGTTTGGGTAATTTGCACTCACACTCCTTGAGATTTGGGTCAATACCACTCAGCAGCCGGTCAACGCACTAGTTTACATTGACACCCCCTGAGGTTTCAAAAGTGTTCATACATAACCCCCTATCTGAGAAAATGACTATTTTAACCTTTGACTTGATTAACAAATACATAAAAAGTATAAAATTACTAATATAACCCTGTAAACTAAATTTTGAAGGACCAAAAATACCCTTCATTTTACATCTATCTCTAACCCTACACAATACATCTCTATCCTCAAGGTTCTGTAACAAATGCTCTAGCAGAGAATAGTGCTTGGAGGCGGCGCCGTCGAAGAGAGGTTCGACAACGGTGAGGTTGGAGGAGAGTGTGGAGGTGGCGCCGTCGAAAAAAAGGTTTTCTTATAATAAGGTTTTGGAGTAGAGCTGTGGCAGAGAATAGCGCTAGCCAACGTCCCCAAAACAAGCCACTGTTCTGAAGGAATTGCCGATTTGCTCCCCGATCTGAAGTGTTAACGTGTCGAGGATGTCTTGATCGCTATCGCCGTCGAAGAGAATAATGTGTTGCCCTTGGATGAGTTACCGTTCGACTGATTCACTCAACCAACCGCCGAAATTGATGGCGTCAAGCAATGGTGGTGCTGTTTAGTGACGTTAAGGTGTTGTGGCAACGGCGGATTTAGCGATCTTAGCTTGGTCAGAGTTAGTGACTTTCGATAATTGCTTCACCGCGAAGTATTTGGGTGAGTCTGACTTTAAGCGAGAATGGGATCATTTTGGCGGTGTGCGTGCGTGTGGGTGTGGCGGTGTATGGAGGTGGCGGTGGTGAGTGGGAGGGGATTAAGAATATTGATTAGGGTTATTTTTGTTAATTAATAGGTTTATGGGTAATATGACTTTTGAAACTTCAAGAGGTGTCAATGTAAACTAGTGGGTTGACCAGTTGCTGAGTGGTATTAACTCAAACCTCGGGGGGGTGTGAGTACAAATTACCCAAAAAGTTTTATGCAAAAATAAAAGTTTATAGGTGTTCTTTAACAAAATTGTGAAAGTTCAGTAATTTTTTTTTTTTTTTTTTAGCCCATTATTCTATGTTAAGAGTTTTGTAGTAAGAAAAGTAAAAAAAAAGCCAATAGAGATTACAAATTTCAAGCCTCAAAATCGGCATGCTTGGTTTGTAATTCTAAAAATAGTTCTTAGAAACTCAAAAATAGAGAATAGTTTTCAGAGAATTATAAAAAACTGTTCTTTGAAAAAAAACATTTTTATAACTGAATTTTTAAAAAATTGAACCAAATAAAATTTTTTGTATAGTTTTCAATTTTCCGATAACAGAAAATTCTTTCCATAGTTACAAACCAAGTTGTCTACTTCCTATTCGATTTTCAAGATTTTCAATCTTTCATACTCACACTCAAATATTAACACTCTTTTATACCCAAGTACAACAGAAATTAGAATTTGAGTCCATGACCCGTAAAACCAAAACGGGTTTCACTTCTTTTTTTTCACAACAAATATTAAGGAATGAGAAATTAAGGTGAAAATTATTCTACATTAAAGAGTTTTGGAGTAAGAAAAGTGAAGAAAGAACAAAACAGGCCCACCAACTCATTTTGAAATTGTGAGCTGAGCCAAAATATGGAGGCAAATTGGGACCCAACTCAGCTAATTTTTTCACACACACACACACACACACACGGATGGAGAGAGGGAGGGAGGGAGGGAGGGAGGGAGGTGTGTGCTTTTATATCTGTTGGTGACCAATTAATACTGCAGAAGTTTATGCATACAAAGAACCTGACAGGGTCTATATGTATGATGATAACACTCCATCCTTTTCGGTTCAGACAGAAATGTGGGTCAAAGTTTTCAGAGAATTCCAAATTAAATATTAAGTCTTGTTTGATATACCAGATTTCGGTGAAAAAGACATTAAATCACCTAGAGAGAGAAAAGAAAAAGAGATTCCATTTTAGTCTTTAGCCTCCATAGCTGCTCATAAACCACAACAAAATACGTAATACTAATAATTATAATACTCAAATTAATATTATTTAATAGATTAATACTTAAAAACAAAAAATCAAAAAGGTAACCTCCTTTATTTGTCTTCCTATATATTCTCCCACTAGCTCCCACCTTCATCTTATCAAGGTGTCTCCTTGGATGATGTGTGTGTGACTGTGTGTGAGAGAGATAGAGAGGATGGAGTGTTACAATGAGAATGGTTTCTTGGAAGAGTTACTAGCCCAAAGAAGTGATTCCTGGGAAACAAACATTCCTGCAGGAGTGAATGATTTGAACACAAATGGGTGGAGTTTTGGTGGGTTAGAAGATTACCCATATCCCACAATTCTATCAAACACCCCATCCTTCGAAGATCAATTCACCATGCCAATTGATCATCAGACGCTGAATTGCTCCCCATTCAGTGAATTCTATGAATTCTCAGCTCCGGAGATGACTGACAATTCATCCAACACCACCAACAAGCTGGATACGCCGCCGTTTCCCGCCCACCAAGAGGACTACTCATTCCCAATCTTGGAGGACAAAGAACTGGGTGGGCTCCAGAATCTGGAGGTTCTTCAAACTGCTTGTAAAATGGAGCCAATCCAAACAAGTCATGAAGTCCCTGCTTTCAACATGGGCAGTCTGTGCCAGGAGAGGAAGAGCAGCAACAGCAAAGTCAAGAAAATGGATGGGCAGCCTTCCAAGAACCTAATGGCGGAGAGGCGGCGGAGAAAGCGGTTGAACGACCGGCTTTCGATGCTCAGATCTGTTGTTCCTAAGATCAGCAAGGTAATCAACAACACCCCATTTGAAAATTTTGTGTTTTTTCATGTTTTCACAATGTATATTCCATGCCCAAATGGAGACTAATTTTTTTTTTTTCAACAACACCCATTTGATGATTTTGTGTTTTTTCATCTCCTCAGTGTATAATCCATGCCCAAATGGAGGCTAATTTATTTATTTATTTTTTTCAATAAAACCCATTTCATGATTTTGTGTTTTATCATGTCCTCAGTGTATAATCCATCCCCAAATGGAGGCTAATTTATTTATTTATTTTTTTCAATAACACCCATCTGATGATTTTGGGTTTTTTCATGTCCTCATTATATAATCCATGCCCAAATTGAGGCTAATTTGTTATTTTTTTTTTTCATGTTGTCACAACTTATAATCCAAATTCCCAAATGGAGGCTAATTTGATTTTTTATTTTTATATATATTTTTCAATATTTGTGTTAATAGATGGACAGGACATCCATACTTGGTGACACAATAGATTACATGAAAGAGCTGTTGGAGAGAATCAACAATTTGCAAGAAGAAATTGAAGTGGGTTCAAAAGAGTTGAACATAATGAGCATTTTCAAGGAAGTTAAGCCTAATGAAGTGGTGGTCAGAAATTCACCCAAGGTATGGTGGTCTCTCTACAAACACTCAATTTATTTTTATTTTTATTTTTATTTTTATGGTTTAAGCTTAAACATAATCAGTGTTTATTTTTCAAAATGTTTTCTTGGCAGTTTGATGTGGAAAGGAGAAATATGGATACCCGAATCGAGATTTGTTGTGCCGGTAAGCAGGGACTGTTGCTATCAACTGTGAGTACCTTAGAAGCATTAGGCCTTGAGATTCAACAGTGTGTTATAAGCTGTTTCAATGATTTTGCATTCCAAGCTTCTTGCTCAGAGGTACAAATTAACTCATTTAATTCTACATTTTTTCTTCAATTACATTACACATACATACATATATATATATATATATATATATGGATATATATAATTTGATCATATATTGTGATAGGAAGTGGAGCAGAGAGCAGTAATAAGTTCAGAAGACATAAAGCAGGCACTCTTTAGAAATGCAGGATATGGAGGAAGGTGCTTTTAGAGATGATGATGACATTAGAAAGGAAAAAAAAAAGGGGAAAGATTTCTGAATCTCTGTGCATTTTCAGGGGCTTTGCAAGTGAGAGAGGTTGTAGTGATTTTGTCTTCTAGAATAAAAATGGTTTCTTTTATTAAAACCATCTCAAAAACCATTTCTGTAATATTTATTTCAAGTGCAAAGTTTGTTATTTTTATTTATTAATTGTTTAAAAATAAGATCAATTGGGTAACTGGCCAAAAGACCAAAATACCCTTGCTTACATGAGTGATGGGTAGCGTTTTTTTATCTGCAGTCCCATCCCACTCCCCTAATCAACCTGGCTTAATTCCAGTCTGGATGATGCGTTTTTCTGATAATTGTGCTTTAGCCATTGTATGTCCTAGATGCCGTAGACAGAGAGAAAAACAAAATTTTGATATTATTTTATACAAAGTGACGGTTCTCATAATCAATTAGACTTTTTAGACTCGTTAGCATGAATGTTAGAAAGGGTTCAAAGAGCTCATTTTTCTTGTATAGTTATTTGTTTCCCACTTGTTCTTCTGAAAGAAACACACAAGCACCAGACTCGAAGGTATATTTATATATATATATATATATAACATACACATTTTCAATGTTTGCCAAACAATGGGGAGAGTTCAAATGCAAGGCCCTAGGACAAAGTGCATTATTGCATTGTCACTATTAACTTGCAAAAAGAACAAAAAGGAATAACTCATCGAAACCATCCGAAATAACTTCATGTAACACTCGTGCAAGATTAGACATAAAGAAAATGAAAAAAGGCAATTTTTTTTTTTTTTTTTACTTTATACCCCCATAATTAAATTGGCACTATAACACAACTTGCAATAAAATTCTGTCCTCAATTATTTCACAAAATTCCTGAATTTGCCACATGATTGTAATTCTCCCTCCGCGGCACTTGCAAAGAAAACGAGGTTGTTTTGGCTCATGCTATGGTTAATTGGAAACAGTCTCTCCGTATGCAGAAGTAAGATCGCGTAATAATCAATTTTACACTACGTCAGAAGCTGTGACAACGAATTTAGAATTCGTGGAGCTAGTATGGACAACAAAAAAACTGAGAATGATGTATGTATGAGAAAAATAGTGAGTGATAAGAAAACAAGGTTATTTTGGCTCATGCTTAGGGAGGATGGTAATTAGGAAATAGTCTCTCTATATGCATAAATAAGGCTGCGTAACGCGTAATAACCTACACTGTGTCACAAGGCGGGATAACGGATTTGGAATGCGTGGAGTGAGAGTGGATGGCTAAAAAATTGAGAATGATGTATGTATGAGAAAAATATAAATAAAGCTGCATAAAGCCTAATAACCAATAATACACTATGTCATGAGGCGGGATAGTGAATTTGGAGTGCGTGAAGTGTGTGGATGGACAGCTAAAAAATTGAGAATGATGTATGTATGAAAAAACTAGTGAGTGATAAGGAAAATGCAATGACCAAGTACACTCATGTGATAAGGAAAATACAAGGATTAGTTCACTTATTTTCTAAGTGAAAACTATTGATGTTCTTTTATATATATATATATATATATATATATATATATATATATATATATCCTCATATGGCTAGGCAAACCAGCAGAGGCTGATGGGGAAGTGTTCTGTTATGTAAGGGAAGCATATTGTGTGTACCCCTAAACCATGTGCATGTTTTGAAGCACCTAAATGTAAAAATAACAAAACCAATCTGTGGATTCACAAGAAAATAGTAAATTGGCCACTTCAACTTTTTCTTTTTTGAATTTATTTATTTGTTTATTTTGTTTTGGCAAGGTAAATGAATTTGTAATAATTAAAAATATATATACAATTATGTGTTCCCACCATGCTTTAACACAATTTTGATCTCATGGCCCATTGGGAGATTATATTGGCTCTAACATAATTAAAACATTGCTTTGCCTGGTTTGATTGTGAATCTTTTGATATGACCCTAAAAATGACCTGACTTTTAAGAAAACCAACTTGTGCTACTAAAAGCACCCAATGGCAGGAAGAAGCTTGAATATTTCCACCTAGGATCTAGGAAGATGCTGAGATATTACCACACAGGATCCACCTCAGCACTGACCGCACAAAACTTGTCTTGATCATGGCTAATTAAAATTTTGTTGTGTTTGGAGTATGGAATTCTGATAGGGAATATCTAACCAGTTAGGAACTTCAAAGGACATGGGAGTCCAAGAGATTTGATAGGCTACAAGTGATAAGGAAAAACACAATTATTCTTTCTGATGACATCCTGCTACATAACACTATCATTTAACGTTCTTATAAGAGGAGAAATCAGACAATTCAAAAGGTACGACACAAATTCCTAAAAAAGTCCTTTCACCTTCTTTCCACCCTCTTGATCTAGCACTAACCTGATCGTCAGAGGCTCTTAGACTGGTACCACACCGGTACCCCTCGATCACCTTTCTCTTCCTTTTTTAGGTACGACGTTGTTTCGGGTCGCCGCTGGTTTGGTACTCCCAAGCATAATATTATGACGTTAAAAACAGGCGCAAGTAACAAGTCTTATGCAATGGGAATAGGCAAAAATCAATCATGGCTAACCTTGTGAATTAATAGAGATTTAGCATAACTGCCAAAACCACTTGAAAAGGTGATGTTGAAGTACCGAGTTTACAAATGAAGATGGCGATGTGAGACTAGCTCATTATCTTTCAAGAGTAATGCTACTCACACCACCGAGTACATAAACCTAAACAATGTGAAGAAAAAATAATAAATATATTCACAAGGATCTCACATGATTTGTTTTTTTCTTCCTCGACGAGGCCCCACATGATGTTATATCTAGGCCACTTATGATTAAGTTTTTAGTTTTAAAATATGATTCAGACAGTTCTAATAAGATTTCAATATTGAACAAAATTTTAATTTTTAATTAATTAATTTATTTATTTCAGGTTCTGTTTGGAAGTATGAAATCCACCTTTTGGAGTTTGAGAAAAATTTATGAGCACCATTTTCCTTCCCTCAAAAAACATAGCATATGGGTTTTTTTTCCTCATGACATATGGGCTTTATTTGGGAGTGTCGGGATTATATAATATATATAGGCTTGGATAAAGGGCTTTATTTGTGAATGAATGGACCTTTTTCACAATGCAGATATAAGATTGGACTTTATTATAAAATCTATCCAAACTGAGCCTTTTCTTTTCTAGGAACTAACCATATTGGGCCTTAAACCCTATGTTGTAATGTTGTATACTTGTATGGACTTGTTTGAGCTTCGTCATTAGAAATTAATTATATGATCCCGAGCAATGTGGCACATCAATAAATGCGTTATAGATGTGTAAATTTTAATTAATTTTTTGTTGATGTGTCACATGATGATTGGTCTATACTAATAGTTCAGGGATCATGTAATAATTTATCCTTCCCTAAAGGATGGAAGTGATCTCTGAAAAAATCCATTTAAGGAGCCTTGAATTCGAGTCTGTCTCGCTTAGTTACATGAATTATGCTCAAGACTTTTTATCAAGTAGCATAGTTCAAGGGTCATGAAATGGAGTGGGTTTAATCCGAGATTCAATTCAAAGTCCATTTTAACATAATTGGAGCACCAACAGGCTTGTGACATAACGGTACAAGACTCATATTTTTTGAAGGGAGGTCAAGGATTCGAACTTCAGTGGTCGTGATTTTCGATTCAGATCACGATATGAAAACACGTATTGCTCTGAGTTAGAATAGTTTGGTTTATTTCCTATTATAGTTTTAATGCAACACCACATGAACCATTAATTCAACAAATAAAAAAATGATATAAAACAAAATGTAATTTTCTTATTTTGGGCTATATAGAATCGGAACTTGAATTGGAATTGGAGAAAAGTTTAATTCAAAGTTATAGAAAATTGAACTAATTTTTTTTTTCAATTCCACCGATTTCAAATCTAAAACTACATAATTCTATTCAGCCGAACATAATCTTTTAAGTATTTATATTATAAAAAATGACATCGATCCCATGGAGAATAAAAAACAGTATTGTGGGGAGAAGAAATAAGAATGAGATCGACCAATAGTGCTCTAAACTGTGGTACTATTCTTTGTTACATGACATAGCATAGTGTTGTTTGGATGTCCAACAGTTGAAAGAACTCAAAATATCAAATCCAGTTGGCCAATTCCAAAACTTTCACATGCCATTGTTGATCTTGATTTTTATATCACACATTCCCTCTAGTAAGCTGAAAGTGGAATTAGAGGATGCTGGCTTGATGGAGATTGAAAATGACCATAACCTAAATTTTGGAACCAAGTCCAAATGGTCCAATCGAAAAACTAGTCTAGATTGAAAATGACCATGACCTAATTATACAATCATCATGCAGGCATATCTTTTTGTTTCGGACAAGGAAATCTCTTAAATGCCCGGCTCTCGACTATTGCTATTGCGCTTATCCATAGGTGGATCTCATCACAGCTTTGTAGTGGGATCCACCAGCATTGTGGGTAGTAGTAAGAGTCAGTAACCGGGGCATGCATCATAATATATAAACTCAATCACTAGCATATCTAACGAGTGGGTGCTTATTAATTTGTTTAAAAATTTAAGTTATTAAATATTACTATATACTTATTTATTTATATTTAATTACTCTACTCTTTTATTTGGATCTGACGTGGAACAAATATCCTCTTGTAACACTTACTATCATCTCATGTTTGTCTATATAAAATGATATGATGAGACAAGTGTAGATATTGGGTGACAAGTGTTGCAAAAAATTATTGTGCTTAGTTGGCTTTGTTCGAGTCAAACTTTTAGAGTAGATATTGGGTGCGTCAAGCATACCATTTGGTATATTCCGTTAGAGTGTTTCTCAAGTTTATCATAGTGCTTTATTTGAGGTGGATAAAATCTTCAGTTGATGTAGACTTATGAAGAGATCTTTGTTCGAGGTGGAGTTATGAAGAAACACGTCAAGACGAATTTTGAGCCAAGGTGGAGATTGTTGGTGATGATATGGACTCTACAATCTAACACGGACTCTAATAGACACGGGAGCCAGGGAGTTGGATAAGTTACAAATTTTTTTTTTTTTTCCTAGTTGGGACTCATACACACTGTCCACTGAGGTTCGAACCCCTGATCTCCCTTTGGGAAGTATGAGCCTTATACCACTAGGTCAC